CCTGACGAAAAAATAATGCTATCGAACGCGTTAAATCGCTTGGAAAACGATACGAACTTTTCTTAGAAACAGACCGTATCAATTTGGAAGGAGAGTATAAAGTGTGGTTGGAACGGTGGATAAATAAGGAAAGCGAAAAGCCATTCCCAAAATCAGCAGCAGAATTTCTTGGTAAATGCGGCGAATATGCTTTTCCAATGATTAACAAACTTCTCTCCATTCTGGTCACACTTCCAGCTAGTAACGCTACTTCCGAAAGAAGTTTTTCAACCCTTCGCCGGTTAAAAACATGTTTGCGTAGTACCATGAATGAAGAAAGGCTGAGAGGTCTAGCACTTTTACACGTACACTTGATATTGAAATTGACACTGAAAGGATAATAGAATGATTTGCAAAAGGAAAGCGCAAAATTGAATTTGCAATTTAAATTATTACCATAAAAATTCTGAATAAGTTGTTAAGTTACTTCATTTTACCAACATTGTAAGCAAGAAATAAGTATTTATATGTATATATTGCATTAATAAACCCAAGGTATAACTTTATATCTTGTGGTTTTTTTCAATAGTACATGCAATTGTTTTATTAGACCTTGCACCAAATTCGCAAAATGAAAAGTTATATTGTAACACAAAACACTTTACTTCACACTTCATAACAAATACTCGAACCTATATTTGCATGAAAAATAAATTAGGGTTAGATGCTTGCAATTTAACGTTATTTGAAAAGTTGATCCCAATCGAATTCGGCTAGACAGAGGCAGGATTCCCATAAAAAAACAGGGCGAAATTACTTCACAATATCAATTCTAATTTGAACATAGTTATGTACATATGTGTGCATGTATTCAAGTCTAACTCAATTGATTGAATGTTGATCTGTTGAACTAACATAGTTGAGTTTTGTTTTGTGCAGAATTTGCATGAAGCGAAACATACATTTCTTTGCTGTTATTTATTCTGTATGCTAAACTACAGCGCAGAGTTGCCGTTGAGTATTTTCAGAAAGTCGCAAAAAGGGTGTCATTGACGAAAAAAGGGTCACCAAATTCTTTTTGCTTTCCTTTACTAGGAAAAGGATAAATCCGAGAACCAAAGTTCTGCTGTTGAATTTAAAAAGAAAATAGCGAAACAAGCTTTGCACAAAACAGATTTGCAAACATACACGGAAATCGAGTTGCATTTCCTTTAAAAGTTTTAAGTGATTAATTTTTTCGTACTTACAGTAGGAAATATTTTTAGTAGCATGGCTCTGTTAACATTTCCTAAAAAAATCTCTGAGAAGGGGCAAAAGTCGCACAAAATTTGGAAAGGGTAAAAGAATCAAAATTTTCAAAAAGTCGTGTCAAAGGTTATTGGCGCTTAAAAAGGGTCATTAACAGGTTTATTCTGCACGTTACCGCTGATTTTGTGACCGGAAAATTTTATTACCAAAAAATGTTACCACTTCTTGTCACCGCGATTCCAGGTACGTTGGTAATGCAGTGAAAATAGCAATTCAGCTATGAAGATTTGTGGAAATTCTTGTATTGCATATTTCATGGGGAAATATTTTGTTACCAGCTTATGAGATGGTAACCAAATTTACCGGTTACAAGAGAGCACAGAATCCGAAAAATGTTTAAAATTTTACAGGCACTTTAATTACCGGTTACAAAATTTATGTTACCAGCGCAGAATAGACCTGTAACTCGGACTTAATCCGGATCAACTGCAGTTAATTCCCGAGTTGATCCGGATCAACGCTGCCGTCTGTTTACGCTTTTAAATAAGGTTTCTGCTGCGCAGCGGCAACTGCTTTTTAACGAACTTTCATCTTTATGAAGTAAAGGAAAAGCTGAAGATGAATGTATTTATGCCACACCAAGAAGCTTACAGTGAGCATGTGCCGATATCGCAGCACGCAGCATTTTGAAGTAAAAACAAAATAGTTGTCAAACGAAATACACGATGCAAAGTGTTTCTTTGTTTTGAACGCAGCGCTTCTTGTACATAAATTTCACTTTACACGCAGCGCTCAGCCTTTAACGCACTTGCTAATTTATCAAGTTCGCGAAAACAATATGCCGAATTCTTATGAAGCCCAACAAATAGATATATGTACATCATTGATTTGTTGTTGTTTGTGCATGCCACTAAAAAAAAAAAAAAACAGTTGCCAAACGAAATACACGATACAGAACTGCTTGTACTTAGGGCCTGTGCCAATAGGTAACTTTTTTCTCCGTGGTGAGACGGGGTGGAAAAATTTGCTATGGTGTACAAATAAATTGAATTTTGCTGTGCCAAATGCAAAGTAAAATTTTGACAGTTGAAAAACCAAACAAACGCTCGTGCGAAAGCTATATTTTTGTGTGTTGCTGAAATTCTTAAAATTTATATTTATTTTATAATTTGCAAGTAACGTAAGCTTTTTTTATGCTGTTTCAGCTTTCATTTTCATGTTCACTCCTTATTACCGCCAAGCAATATTATGTGTATACATGGTTATAAGCTGTCAAAATTTTACCTAGCCCCATGAGCTAGGTATAATTTTGACGTTCGTATTCACCACGAGAAGTGTCAAATTTTTACTTTGATCCGTCAAAATTTTCTATTTTCTATCAATTGGCACAGGCCTTTTTATTAAAATTTCATCTTAAAAATACCACTGTGTCCTACTGTGGTAGAAATATGTCATTTTCAAATTTGAATCATAGAAATCGACCCGGTACATCAGCCGTTTTGCTCTCACGTTTTTTTTTTGGATTTAATTTTATATAAAGTATATAAAAGCTCTGATATTTATTGCTTGCCAAGAGCAATATGCGGTCTCCATTGGCAAAATTTTGCCTGATAACATTAGCCGTCATCGATTCGACACTTCGCTGCTTACTAAGTTTGAGTTCCGGTCGCTTAAAGAAGAATTTTGCATGTGAAAGCAACAACAAAGTTAGCTAGCACGGATAGACGATAGCGAGTTTGGTTGTACCTCATTGAGTTCGTTCGTTTCGTCACTCGCTAAATGTTGGCGAATCGATGATAAAAACGATAAAAACTTTTGCCTGTGGAGACAGCAAGGTATGGGTGTAGCGCACAGCCTGTCAGCGTAGACCTCTAGTACGTACGTATGTAAAAGTATTCTGTGAATTCAAATTACCTAAGCTTTAGTTTTGTATGTAATATGGTAATAGAAATAATTGATCCTTGTTTAAAATAATATAAATGTATCCGTGAATTGAACTAAATGAACTAAAGACCTAGTTCGCTAAGGTGAGCGAACTACAACTGAACGGTTCACTCAAAATGATTAAAATGCCCAACCCTAATGTGCAATATAAGCACCACGAAAAATGCATTATAATAATGGTGTATAACTAAGAAACTCGACTAAATTATTTGAATTACCGGAGCTATTATCCAAATTAGCTGAAGCAAAAATGCTAATGTAATTTGAAAATTATTTGCATAGTTTTAAAAGCTTTAAGTTGGATTTTGGGAATTTGTGCAGGTTTAGTTGTTAAAGAAAAAATAAAACAAGTAAGAAAGTCTAAGTTCGGGCGGAGCCGAACATTAAATACCCGGTGCAAGTATTAAATATATGTTTTCCACCTTTCCGAAAGCTACCGCTACATGATAAGCCGGGGTGTATACATTTTAAATAAATTAGCGTCCTTAAATTTCGAAATATTGAAATTTGAAGCATTTCTGAATTTACCGTTATATGAAAAGCGGCCTCAATTTTAGTCCGATTTCAACAATTTTCAACGGTTTGCTTTTATGTGGCAAGCACAATAACCATACCGAGCTTGGTACAAATTGCTAGAACGGTTAGCGAGATACATATATGTGATCACAAGTGGGCGGTGCTACGCCCATTTCCCAAAATTTTGTCATAAGCCTATTTCTTGGTAAAGAATTGTTGCAACCATCAATTTTGAATAAATTAGCTTCAATATTTACTGATTTATCGAAGATTTTGTATTTCTCGAAATTACCGTTATATGGGATTTTAGAAATTTTCGACCAGTTGGTATGCTGTACCAGTACCAACAACTGTGCCAAGTTTGGAAGAAATTGGTGTAGCGGTTACCAAGATATACACATGTAATCATAAGTGGGCGTGGCTACGCCCATTTGCCAAAATTTTGTAATATTCTTATTTTTCGTCTAAAACTCATTGCAAATATCAATTTTGAGTGAATTATCTTCAGTAGTTACTACAATATCGCAGTTTTCGTTTTTCTGAAAATTACCGTTATATGGGAGGTAGGCGTGGTTATTGTCCGATTTTTAAAATTTTCAGCCATTTAGTATGCTGTACTAAGGCCAACAACTGTACCAAGCTTGGAAGAAATTGGTGCAGCGGTTACCAAGATATACACATGTAACCATAAGTGGGCGTGGCTGCGCCCATTTTCCAAAAATTTATAATATTCATGTTTTCCGTCTGAAACTCATTGTAAGTATCAATTTTGAGTGAATTATCTTCAGTAGTTACTAAAATATCGCAGTTTTCGTATTTCTTAAAATTACCGTTATATGGGAGGTAGGCGTGGTTATTATCCGATTTCGCCCATTTTCAATACCATCCGTCCCATGCCCAAAAGAAGTTCACGTACCAAGTTTCGTTAAGATATCTCAATTTTTACTCCAGTTATCGTGTGCACAGGCGGACGGACGGACGGACGGACGGACAGACAGTCACCGCTTAATCGATTTCTCTTTTCATTCTGATCATTTATGTATACATTTGTCTATATCTATCTCGATTCGTTTTGCCTGTTACAAACAACCGTTATGTGAACAAAGTTATAATACCCTTGTGCACAAGTGCGCTCGGGTATAAATATACGTATTTTCACAGCTTATAGACAGTAGAATCATTAATTTCTGGTGCTTTTGAGTGGAGATTTCTTTTTAAGTGGTTGCTTGTATCGTGGGTATTTGTGAATACATAAATGTTTTTAAAGAGGCGATTATAATAGACAGTTACTGTATATACAATTTAAAACTTACCTTGCACCTCCGTATAGAGGACACCATGGACATATGCAGCATAACAATAATATTAGAATCGTTAAGGCAACCAACGCAGCAAGTAGGATAAGAAGCCAAAAAAGCAACTTGTTTTCAGCTTTGTAGAGAGTCTGCAAAGGAGTAAAGTTCTATTTGAATTTATTAACATGAAAGTTTGTGCAAAAAATTAGAAAATAACACCGCGTAATAAAATTAAAAAAAAAGTCGTGGTAATTTCTCTAAATCGCTTTTGGAATAGAAACTTTTGGAAATCAGGCTCCAAAGATAAATTTATGAGGATTTTTACCAGAGATCGCATATAACAGTCATCACCGTATTTGGTAGAAGTCGATGAAGTGGTTACCAAGATACACTTATTTTTGTAGTCATAAGCCCATTTTCCAAAAAGCAAAAAAAAATGTTATTTATTATTTTATATCTACTCGCTTTCTTGTTTGTCCAGATAGTATAGCAAAGGACATAAAATATATATCGCACACCGACTTCAAAAGGGGCACAACTCAAAATTACATGTTTCTCAGAAAATCCGGAAAACTGCTAAGGCATATGATAATCACATGGGCAAGGGAGACTACCTTAGGTTTTTTTTTAACAAATTATAACAAAAATTTGCTCCAGCTTTTGTTGAAAGCTAAATAAAAGCTCTGTGTACATCTTTAGCGCATAATTTCATAAATCCCAAATTTTGTGTTGTGCCTCTTTTGAAGACGGCGATATGTACATGGAATACGCAAAATTAGTCATAATCTACCTCAGTGATTCCCAAAGTGGTCCAGGTGAACCCCCAGGGTCTACGGGAGACTCGACGGGGGCCTACATTGGCGTAATAAAAAAATAGGGGTTCACGAGTTGTAAGTGTGGGTCCACGACAATTTATCTGGTTTCGATAGTAAAGAACAAAACTGGTTGCTTGACTTTATCTATCAATGCACATAGCTGTATTTCAACGATCTAGGCGGCCAAAAACCAATTTAACAAACTTCGAAGGAAACATAAAAAAGAGTCACATTCGATAGAGAACATTCCAAATAACATTTCCCAGTTTTTCTCACTTTTCGAACTTGCATCTTCCAAAATTGGACGGTCAAGATTTTTTCGCACAAATCACTTTATTCGGTTAACAACCACACAAAAAAATATAATTTGAGCAATTCTGCAAAAGTCGAAGTTTTGAAAGCGTTATTGCTATTAACTTTTTTTTGATGAATTCAGTAATTATTTATTGTAATTACGTACGCAAATGAAAAGAAAACAAGTAAGAGCAGCGCTGTCTTCGGCTATGCCGAAGGCTTCATACCTTTCATGAACATCTGCAAATTTTACTTTGACAGATTACTGCTTTTGAATACATCTGCATACATCGATAGAGGAGTTACATACTTATATAAAAAATCGCATCTAAACAATCAGAGGTATGGAAGATATACTTTATATGACACCAATCTAAGTGATTTTCACCGCTATGTGATCGGTATGTAAACCGGTAACACAATTTATTGGGTTTAGTTTCGTACATAAAGGAGATATATGGTAAAAACTGGTATCTGAACAATCAGTGCTATAGGAGATAAAGCTTATACAGCATAGATTTTGACGATTTTCTCAGTAGACTTTGTATTATTATTTATAAAATATCTTACGAAATTTATCGGTTTTAGCTATTCAAATAAAGAAGTTTTACAGTAAAATCCCATATCTGAACAATCAGATGTATGGAAGATATATGTTGTAGTCATCCGATCCTTGTTATTTTCACTGTAAGTATTCTGTTAATAATGAGTGAAAATGGTGCGAAATTTCATGTTCCTAGCTGCATAAATGGAGAAGTTATGATAAAAGACCTCATATCTGAACAATCAGTTGTATGGGGGCTGTAGGTTATAGTGACCCGATCTTTATTATTTTCGAGGTAAGTCTTCTGTTGATAATGAGTGAAAACAGCGCGAAATTTCATGGTCCTAGCTACATAAATGGATGAATTATAACGAAAAATCTGATATCTGAACAATCAGTTGTATGGGAGCTATAGGTTATAGTTGCCCGATCTTTTTAATTTTCACTGTAAGTTTTCTGTAGATAATTATTGAAAACAGTGCGGAATTTCATGTTCCTAGCTATATAAATGGAGGAGTTATAACGCAAAATTTTATATCTGAACAATCCGTTGTATGGGAGCTATAGGTTATAGTGACCCGATCTTTGTAATTTTCACTATAAGTATTCTGTTGATAATGGGTGCAAGTATTGCAAAATTTCATGTTCGTAGCTGCATAAATGGAGAAGTTATAATGAAAAATCTCATATCTGAACAATCAGTTGTATGGGAGCTATATGTTATAGTGGTCCGATTCTTCCGTTTCCGACAAATGATTAATACATTATAAAAATACACCCACCTACCAAATTTCATCCGGATATCTCGAAAACTGAGAGACTAGATTGCATACAAACAGACAGACAGACGGACAGACGGACAGACGGACATGGCTAAATCAACTCAGCTCGACGTTCTGATCATATAAGTATACATTTTCATGGGTCTATCTCTTTTTGTTCTGGTACTTACAAACATCGGACCAAAGTTATAATACCATTTCATGCTCATGAAAGGTATAAATACGACTTTACGAAAATTCTATGATTTATTGCAAAGCGTTATAACTCAGCTTTATATTTTCCAAAGTTGACTGTTGGCTAATAATTACAGTAAGTTGAGCGCGTTAAAAAATTGGTGCTGTCTCCTCGGCTGCTTGATAAAAAAAGGAAGAATAGCAAGTTAAATTTTGCCTAGCTGCTTAAAATAAAATACATTATATATTTGCAAAGTGAGATTGGTATGCATACAATAGTATATAGCTAATTGCAGAAATTTCAATACCTAACAGTAATTTCAATAACAAGCGCAAGCGAGAATAGCAGCACCAATACGCAAAACATACTAATGTACATATGTATCTTATGCAAGAGAGCTTAGCACTCTTGAGTGACTTAAAGATGTTGAGTTTAACATAATTTGATGCTACAGAGATGCATTTTTGTGTGCTTAGTGGATATGAATACAAATTAGGTGATACTGATGTCGTGACATTTATTATCCACAGATTCATAGCATATATCTTGCTGATTTTTTCATGATAATAGTTAATTAGACGACCATTGGATTTACCATGACTGTTTCCATTTTTCAAACAACCATTATTTTGTGTAAAATTTTTAATTTTTATAAACAAATAGAAATAATTAATACTTCTTGATCAGATTTTTTAGTAGTTCACATTGAATATAAATTTTCTTCTATAATACATTATTTAAAAGAAAAAAATGGAAACTTGCACGGAGTCGCTAGTTATTAATTTTTTTCGCTCCTGCTATGGGCGCATTTTTTAAAGTTATATAAGTAAAGTCGGAATTTTTATGCTCTCATCCCTAGGATTGTTCTATACCGAAAAAAATATACCCTTATTTTTTATTTTGAAATCAAACAATATTTGGAGGTCGCTCAAAGGGACTAAAGTTTTCCATTTATTTTATATGGGGAAATAAAACTTTTCGTAGAAATGGTATAGAATACTTAAAAATCGATATTTTAATCCCAGAAGACTCTGTTTATCTGCAGGAGATTCCCAATAATAATACCCAATATTGTATTTAACCATTTTTTCATCGACTCTATAATTTATAGGTCCGCCAAAACCCAAAAATAAATAATTGGGTATTCTTATTGAAAGTAACCTGAAGAGAACCAGAGTTTTCCGATCAAAAATTGTTCAAGAATTCCAAAAGTTGTTTTTCCCCATACAAAAATACATGGGAAATTTTGAGCGCTTTGAGCGACCTCTCAATATTTTTTGATTTCCAAATAAAAAAATAAGGGTCTACTTTTTTCGATATAGAACAATCCTAGGGGGTGAGGGCATTAAAATTCCGACTTTACTGTTTTTGGACCACCCTAATGTGCATACACTTAGGCCTCTTTTTATGCGGTACATGCGTTCCTCAGAATGCCGCATAACAAAAACCTGCATATAAAAGTTCTTTACTTTCATACAAAAACAGGGGATGCGTTCCAGCATTTTCAAAAACCGCATAAATTCCGATACTCCATGTAAAAAATTAAAAAAAAAAACGCATACAAAAATCCAGTGAGAAATTATTGAGCAAAAAAAACTATTTATTTCTTCACTCCAACACTTATTATTCCATGTAAAACCGAACATTAATGAAATAAACAAAATTTTATCTGTATTTTAACCAAAAAAAAAAATTCCACAATAAATACATGAATTATGTAAGAATACATAAAAAAATTTAGAAAAAAAGGTTTTTTCTTAACAGCGGTCGCCCCTCGCAATGGCAAACCTCTGAGTGTATTTCTGCCATGAAAAACAGCTTCTCGTAAAAATACAATCGCCGTTCGGAGTCGGCGTAAAACTGTAGGTCCCTCCCCTTTGTGTGACAACATCAAGGCGCGCACCACAAATTGGAGGAGAAGCTCGGCGAAACACTAACATATGTGTAAGCGCCAATCTATTATTATTATTATTATGTAAGAATACGAAGACAAATTATTTATTAGAAGCATTGTCTTTTACACACTGAAAAAAGTAATAAAAACTCTCAAAAAAGCAAAATCGCTACTGCGAAATAATGGTTTGAAAAACCGCATAAATTCAAATCCGTATAAAAAGAGACCTAAGTGTACATAGCATGCATATTTATATATGTACCGATGTATGTATTTATGTATGTACATATGCATGTATTTTGTCTTTACAGAGAAAAATAACAAAAAAAAACTAAGCACTTTTTTAACACCGCCAAAATAGTTTGCTACTTGTAGCAGTTATGCTGTATACCTGAACGAAATATATTCCTTGGTGAAAATATGTATTTATATCATTCTGCAAAACCGCGTAATTGACATTGGCTGCCAAAAGTTGGATTTGCTCACACAAATTCTTGGCTTAATCCATATCCATTCGTCCTGAAATATACTAGCCAGAAAATGCGATTGCTTTTTTTCAAAAAAGAAAACAATTTTTAAATATGAATGTTTTTACTCTCTGGAAAATAACTTATGCAACCTCACATACGCGGTTTTGCATTATCT